TTTTCTGATCTGCATTGATACATGTGTATTTTTGTACGTTAGATTCCACTGTTCCTACCGTTATTTATAAATATAAACTCTTTAAGCCTCTTGCACAATGGAAGGAATAGCGATAGCGATAGAAATAACACAGTTTTTAACACAGAATTTTAACTCGTCGGAAATTTTATCGCTATTGCTTATTCCGATTTTCTGATCTGCATTGATACATGTGTAGTTTTGTATGTTAGATTCCGCTGTTCCTACCTTTATTTTTAAATATAAACTCTTTAAAACTTTTGTTATTTCTATCGCTATCGCTATTCCGTTCATTGTGCAAGAGGCTTTAAAACTGGTGTTATTTCTATCGCTATCGCTATTCCGTCCATTGTGCAAGGGGCTTAATACATCGCTTAGTTTTGTACATATTATACTCCGTGTGGCACCATCTTTACATCATGTGTGTAGTTAATTTTCAAGTCCAATGTCCATGATCCATGGTGCTAGAAATCGGTTCGAGATCTTGGTTCGAAAAAATATTATGGCTGCTTTCCTTTTAGGAGACACAGTCGACACAAGTCGACACAAAAGTCATTCTGTCTTCGTTCAGTATTCAGTGAGAAACAAAGACAGAATGACTCTTGTGTCGACTTGTGTCGACTGTGTCTCCTAAAAGGAAAGCAGCCTATATAGGTTGCTTTCCAGATGCGTACACAAGCGACACTGTGCAACACAGTGTCCATTAGTGTGAGTGAGACACATTGATATGCTCTTTCTCACACTAATAGACATTGTGTTACACAGGCTGCTTTCCTTTTAAAGGGTCGTCTACAATGGAGAGTTTTAGACTGTAACAGTAAGAAACTGACAAATCACAATCGATTATTCTTCTGTACTTCGTCTGTGATTGGTTAATTTCTTACTATTACGGCCTACAACTCTCCATTGTAGACGGCTCTTAAGACCTGTTCTACAATACAGTCGTAAGCTGTAAGTCGTAAGAAATTGACCAATCACAGATAAATCACAGAAGAATAATCGATTGTGATTGGTCAATTTCTTACGACTTACGGCTTACGACTGTATTGTAGAACAGGCCTAAAGAGCCGTCTACAATAGAAAGTTGTAGGCCGTAATAGTAAGAAATTGACCAATCACAGACAAAGTACAGAAGAATAATCGATTGTGATTTGTCAATTTCTTACTGTTACGGCCTACAACTCTCCATTGTAGACAACCCTTAAAAGGAAAGCAGCCACAGTGTCACCTGTGTAAGTAGCTGGAAAGTTCCCATAGCCAATCAACTTACAGTTTTTAAGTAGAAAGCAGCAATTTTATTGGCTACACGTTTTTTAAGCCACTTTCTAGCATCATGGACACTAACCTTAAAAGCAGTGCTGTACTACTTAGACTGCTTTCCTTTTAGGAGATACAGTCGACACATTCGACACAAAGCGTCACAAGTCGCTTTTTATTTGTAATTGTGATCGACCTCAGTAGACACAGTGTTCCGATATGGGACCGGTTGTACGCGCATGTGCAAAAATACGGCGTCAGTAACGTATCTTATACAAGTTAAACAAGGCACGTTATGTAAAATGTAATGTTGCCATATGCAAAATATTTCAAAATTGTTCAGAAATGTGTAAAAAATAAAATATATACATTTATATATATATATGTAATAAGATTATATACATACACACATATATATAATTTAATAGTTTCTAAATATTACTTATAATAAAAAAGAGAAAAAAGGGAAAAAATTATATATTCTTCAAATAAAACACTTTTTATATAAATACAATAAAAATCTTTTATTTGGCAAAGATCTCAAAAAATACCAACATTTGTTGCAAAGGTAAGAAAAACTGCTAAAAACCTTACCAGTATTTATACAATAAAAATGTATTATTTAAATTATTCATTAATTAATAATATATAAATAATATTAATAATAATACTAATAATATATAATAATATTAATATATACATATTTAAAATAAAAGAAGAATATAATATTAAAGTACAAATAAAATTGCAGAAAATAAAAATTTTGAAAGCTATTTAATTTTAAATTAAAATCTTTAAGTAACAAAAATAATATTGTACAGTAAATAAAAAAATAACTGCATGGCTTTCTTCAAATACTAATATATCAGTTTTAATATATCACATTTTATATGCTAAACACACGTCCCGCCAAAAGGTCTGCATATAACGGGTGCGTTCGAAAAGCGCGTTATCATGCGCGCTGTTGCATCATTCTATCTTTATTGCTTATTAGATGTAAAACAAAGATAGAGTGACGCAATAGCGCTGATAGCGTGCTCCCCGAACGCAGCCAACATGTTACGACACTGTATCTCCATCGTCGCGCATGCGCAGAGTTGCACATGCGCGTACAACCGGTCCCATATCGGAACATTGAGCAGTGATGAAAGATCGAGCCCACAGCAACGAGAGTATCGAAGCTAATCGAAGCGGTGGGGGCACGCACATAAGCGAGAACCGCCGTCACAGACGACGATTTTTGCTTGTGTGCGTGCCCCCACGCTTCGATACTCTCGTTGCAGCGGGCTCGATCTTTCATCACCATATATATAATACTTCTATATTGCTAGTACGGTGCCGACCTGAAGCCCAAACGTTACGGTGCAGACAATATAGTAGCCTCTCTCTCCAGCTGCTTTGTGCGCATGCGGTGAACATTCAAGCACGTTTGGGCATTTCTCTTTCTCGCGTTCTTTCCAATGCTTTGTCTCGCTCGCACTCGCTTAGTAGACGCGCCTGCGCATAATGACGCACGACTATCTATGCCCATATTTGGACTTCGTGCGTCTCCCTTTCTCGGGCCTCGTGCCTCTCATTGCGAAGATACGCGACTAGCAATATAGAAGTATTATATATATGGTCAAATCCGCCTAGCACTATGGCTTCACTCCCCGCGCCGATACTATCCCTTAATGCTCCCTCCTTTATTTTCGTGGTGAGCCGCTTAAGAGCCGTCTACAATGGAAAGTTGTAGGCCGTAATAGTAAGAAATTGACCAATCACAGACAAAGTACAGAAGAATAATCGATTGTGATTGGTCAATTTCTTACTATTACGGCCTACAACTCTCCATTGTAGACGGCTCTTTATAGTTCAGTGGTAGTTACGTTCAGAAAACGCAACGGTTGAGAAATCATTACTTGTGATAGGACTATTTCTCAAAATCTGTTAAGAGCTGTCTACAATGGAGAGTTGTAGGCAGGGTTGGGTTATTCGAGCATTATCTAGAGTTTTTTACATTTTACAGTTTTTTACGGTAAAATACGTAAAAAACGTATAAAATACGTATAAAACGTATAATATTTATTGAAGTATACTATTATGTTTGTAGAAATGCAAATTA